TTTTTGCATCCATGTTCATCAAGGTTATTGGTCTGTAATTCTCCTTTTTGATGGGGTCTTTGGTATTGGGATCAAGGTAATGGTGGCCTCATAAAATGAGTTTGAAAGTTTTCCTTCCATTTCTATTTTTTGGAACAGTTTCAGGAGAATAGGTATTAATTCTTACTTTTTTTTTAAACTTTTATTTATTTATTTATTCATGAGAGACAGAGAGAGAGAGAGAGAGAGGCAGAGGAAGAAGCAGGCTCCCAAGGAGCAGGGAGCCCGATGCAGGACTCGATCCCAGGACCCTGGGACCATGACCTGAGCCAAAGGCAGACGCTTAACCATCTGAGCCACCCAGGCGACGTAGGTATTAATTCTTCTTTAATGTTTGGTAGAATTCCCCTGAAGAGCCATCTGGCCCTGGGCTTTTTTTTGTTGGGAGATTTTTGATGACTGCTTCAATTTCCTTAGTGTCTATAGGTCTGTTCAGATTTTCTATTTCTTCCTGGTTCAATTTTGGTGGTTGATACATCTCTAGGAATGCATCCATTTCTTCCAGGTTATCTAATTTGCTGGCATAGAGTTGCTCAAAATATGTTCTTAAAATGGTTTGTATTTCTTTGATGTTGGTTGTGATCTCTCCTCTTTCATTCATGATTTTGTTGATTTGGGTCATTTCTCTTTTCTTTTTGATAAGTCTGGCCAAGGGTTTATCAATCTGGTTAATTCTTTCAAAGAACCAGCTCTTCGTTTTGTTGATCTGTTCTACTGTTCTTTTGGTTTCTATTTCATTGATTTCTGCTCTGATCTTTATTATTTCTCTTCTCCTGCTGAGTTTAGGCTTTCTTTGCTGTTCTTTCTCTAGCTCCTTTAGGTATAGGGTTAAGCTATGTATTTGAGACCTTTCTTGTTTCTTGAGAAAGGCTTGTGTTACTATATACTATATACTATATACTGCCTTTGCTGTATCCCAAAGCTTTTGGACAGTTGTGTTTTCATTTTCATTGGTTTCCATGAATTTTTAAAATTCTTCTTTAATTTCCTGGTTGACCTATTCATTCTTTAGTAGGATGCTCTTTAGCCTCCATGTATCTGAGTTCTTCCCGACTTTCCTCTTGTGATTTGAGTTCTAGTTTCAAAGCATTGTGGTCTGAAAATATGCAGGGAATAATCCCCATCTTTTGGTACCGGTTGAGACCTGATTTGTGACCTAGGATGTGATCTACTCCGGAGAATGTTCCATGGGCACTAGAGAAGAATGTTATTCCGTTGCCTTGGGATGGAATGTTCTGAATATGTCTATGAAGTCCATTTGGTCCAGTGTGTCATTTAAAGTCTTTATTTCCTTGTTGATCTTTTGCTTAGATGATCTGTCCATTTCAGTCAGGGGGGTGTTAAAGTCCCCCACTATTATTGTATCATTGTCAATGTGTTTCTTTGCTTTTGTTATTAATTGCCTTATATAATTGGCTGCTCCCATGTTAGGGGCATAGATATTTACAATTGTTAGATCTTCTTGTTGGATAGACCCTTTAAGTAGGATATAGTGTCCTTCCTCATCTCTTATTACAGTCTTTGTTTTAAAATCTAATTTGCGTGATATAAGGACAGCCACCCCAGCTTTCTTTTGGTGTCCATTAGCATGGTGAATGGTTTTCCACCCCCTCACTTTCAATCTGGGGGTGTCTTTGGGTCTAAAATGAGTCTCTTCCAGACAGCAAATTGATGGGTCTTGTTTGTTAATCGAATCTGATAGCCTGTGTCTTTGATTGGGGCATTTAGCCCATTTACATTCAGGGTAACTATGGAAAGATATGAATTTAGTGCCATTGTATTGCCTGTAAGGTGACTGTTACTATATATTGTCTGTGTTCCTTTCTGGTCTATGCTGCTTTTAGGCTCTCTCTTTGCTTAGAGGACCCCTTTCAATATTTCTTGTAGGACTGGTTTTGTGTTTGCAAATTCTTTAGTTTTTGTTTGTTCTGGAAGCTTTTTATCTCTCCTATTTTCAAAGACAGACTAGCTGGATATAGTATTCTTGTCTGCATATTTTTCTCGTTTAGTGCTCTGAAGATATCATGCCAGTCCTTTCTGGCCTGCCAGGTGTCTGTGGATAGGTCTATTGCCAATCTAATGTTTCTACCATTGTAGTTTACATATCTCTTCTCCTGAGCTGCTTTCAAGATTTTCTCTTTGTCTCTGAGACTTGTAAGTTTTACTATTAGATGTCGGGGTGTTGACCTATTTTTATTGATTTTGAGAGCGGTTCTCTGTGCCTCCTGGATTTTGATGCCTGTTTCCTTCCCCGCATTAGAGAAGTTCTCTGCTATAATATGCTCCAATATACCTTCTGCCCCTTCTCTCCTTCTTCTTCTTTTGGGATCCCAATTATTCTAATGTTGTTTCATCTTATCGTATGGCTTATCTCTTGACTTCTGCCCTCGTGATCCAGCAGCTGTTTATCTCTCTTTTTCTCAGCTTCTTTATTTTCCATCATTTGGTCTTCTATATCACTAATTTTCTCTTCTGACTCATTTATCCTAGCAGTTAGTGCCCCCATTTTTGATTGCACCTCATTAATAGCCTTTTTGATTTTGATTTGTTAGATTTTAGTTCTTTTATTTCTCCAGGAAGGGTTTCTCTAATAACTTCCATGCTTTTTTCAAGCCCAGCTAGTATCTTTAAAATCATGATTCTGAACTCTAGGTCCAACATCATACTAAAGTCTGTATTGAGTAGGTCCCTGGCAGACGGTACTACCTCTTGTTCTTTTTGCTGAGGTGATTTTTTTCGTCTTGTCATTTGGTCCAGAGGAGAATAGAATGAGAGAACAAAATGCTAACAGGTTAACAACGTCCCCAGCAAACATACTCTAAACAAATCAGTAAAAACCTGAAACCAGGGGAAAAGAAAGGGAAAGAAAGAAAAAAGAAAGAGAAAAAGAAAGAAAAAGATAAAAGCAAAGAAAAACAGAACAAAACAAAAAAAAAACAGAATATGATCAAATATGATCAGGCTAGTGCATAGATCAGTGCCACACACACTAGATTTGGGGCATATTTTGCTCTGTTAGAAAAAAGTGCCCCCTAAAATTTTAAAGGAAGAAAGACTTATATATGTACAAAATAAGGGTTGATACAATGAAGGGATGGAAGATGACTGTAAAGATGAAAATTATGAAAGATTTTATAAAAGGAATTGATAAGAAGTTGTTTGAAAAAAGAAAGAAGATTAAAAAAAAAGGAAAAAAAAAGGGAGAGAATGTGCTCAGGCAGGAGACCAGAACAAAGCAATACACTAGTGATTTAGAGTATATTTTGATCTGTTAGAAGAAACTGTATCTCAAAATTTTAAAGAGAGAACAGCTTATATATATATATGCCAAAAATAAGGGTAACTACTATGAAGGGATAAAATATGACTCTAAAATTGAAAAATAATTTTTTTTAAAAGGGACTGATAAGATGTTGTTTGAAAAAGGGAAAAAGAAAAATTAAAAAAAAAAAAGTTAAAAAAATTAACTTTGAAAAACTAATGAATCATGGTAAAAAAGCCATGAATTCTATGTGCAGTATTCCCCTAGCGCTGGAGTTCTCCTGTTCTCCTTGATTGGTAAACTTGGTCTTGGCTGGCTGTTCCTGCTGATCTTCTGGGGGAGCGGCCTGTGCTGTGGTTCCCAAATGTCTTTGCCGGAGGTGGAATTGCCCCGCCCTTGTCGGTCTGGGCTAAGCAATCTGTTTAGGTTTGCTCTCGGGAGCTTTTGTTCCCTGCAAGCTTTCAGTACAGCTTTGGAGGAGGACAGTGAAAATGGTGGCCTCCCAATCTCCGCCCGGAGGAGCCAAGAACTCGGGGCCCCGCTCCTCGGTGCGCCCCCAGAGAAAAGCAGTCAGTCACTCCCGTCTCCCCGGTCTCCGGCCTCACTCTGTGCTCACCCGGCCTGTGACCAAGTGTTTCTATCTCTGGCACCTTACCCCTTGTGGAGTCTCCAAACCCAGCAGATCCCTGCGGTGCACTCCCACACCGCTCCTCCCAGGGGAAGGAGAGTCTCCCCGGATCTGCCGCTTGTTGGGTCCCTGCTGGAGGAGCAGTGGCCCGACTGGCCCGCGGATCACAGTTTACGGCAACCCCGAGCTGAGAGCCCGCGCCTTGGCTCCGTCTCTGCAGCCGGTTTCCCTGCTCCGATACCTGGGAGCTCTGCTGCACTCAGCCGCCCCCGGTCTTTCTGTGCCACCGAGCGTCCTGAGACCACACCGTCCCGCGAGGGTTCCACCCCCCGCTTAGCCACTGGAGTGACATCCCTCAGTGGAGCCGACTTCTAAAAGTTCCAATTTTGTGATTTGCGGCTCTATCACTTGCCAGAAGCGGCCGACGGAGGCCCCCTCCCCCACCGTCTATCCTCCCGAATATCGCCTCAGATTCACTTCTCCACACATCCTACCCTCCAGTAAGTGGTCATTTTTCTGTTCCAGAGACTTGTTGCTATTCTTTCCTTTGATCTCCTGTTGAGTTCGTAGGTGTTCAGAATGTTTTGATCCCTATTCAGCTGAATTCCTGAGACCAGATGAAATCCAGGTCTCCTGCTCCTCCGCCATCTTGCCCCGTTCTCAAAATACTTTATTTCTAATGTACACCAGTAAAATAAATTACTGGCAAAAACAATTACTGATTATAAAAATCTTCCAATGAAACACCTTTCTGAAAGTTTTCACTGAAGGAAAATTTAAGAACTGGAAAAAAACCTTTGATTACTGACTTGATAGTCTGAGAAACTTTTAATCTCAGTAAAATTTAAAGGAATTTCTTATACTATTTTCATTCCCTAATGTAGTGAATAAAATGCAAAATAAATTGTGTTTGAATCAACACTGGTCATTGACATATTAACTTTTATTTCCTGTTCATTATAACCAGGATAATACAAATCAAAATATATTCAGTTAATTTTCATGTGTGACATTTAACATGATGTCAACTCAGATAGCTTAAGTTATTGGGAAAATATCATAAAGGCTTACCCCATTTTTTGGAAAAGCAATCCATCCCAAGTCCCCCATGACAGTACGTGAATCCAATAAATTCACTGAAAGAAAAAGAACACAAAACTGAGTCAAATGTATAAAAAAGTATTACCATTTTCATAGTGTTATTAAAGTACATATTTCTTATATAACTGAAGTTAAATTAAGTATTCATCATGAATATGAGAGTTGTCATTTAATGAAAACATTATTTGGATGCACAAGAACAAGTGATTTTGAATAAACATTTGGAGAACAATTACAGCAAAAATACATAAACAAGTCATTACTCTAAGTGCTCTTTCTTGTCAAACAAGAATAAAGGAAAAGAATTAGTAAAAAGAAAAAGAAATGAAAGTCCACAGAAAACCGTAAGGACTATGCCACTCCTTTAAAGGCTCTCAATTTGGGGATTAAGCGGCCATAAATTTGTGACTACACATATTGTATTTTCTTCTGAAAAGCTATTATGAAGCAATTAACAAATAACTTACATTAAACAGAAATAAGCTATCCCCAAGTTTGTAAGATTTTTTTGTGATATTAACTGAAATCTGTAATCCAAACTGCAAGTCAAATTAAGAAATAAATCTACGCACCCATAACTAAGCCAAGAAAATTATAGCAGCTCTCAGGGTTGTTGCTAGAGTTAAGTGTCCACTGCATTCCCAAAAATATATTCTACTTACAAATAACCACAGTCTACAATGTGCTTCTTATAGAACTATCAGCTACATTTTTGAAATGCAGACCTCAATTATGGCTGGATATACATAAATATTTGGAACTCTCAGAATGGAAGTCTGAATATCATTATTACAAAAGGAAGCCATGAAAGGATGTGTACACACACATGCACCCACAGTCATACACACACACAGTGTTTATACTTCAACAAGTTTATCTACTGTTCTCCCCCCTGCCCAAATTAAACTAGCTTACAGGATGCTGAGCAGACAAACTGCTTCAGACCTGGGTCATAGATGATCATCTTTCCAGCCTATTATGCCTATCCCAAGTGATCTACCTGGCCCACCAGACAGCTGAAACAGTTTGAAAGGGAAACAACTGGGTTATACCTAGTCAGAGGTACTGAAGCTTCCTTATACTACATTCAAGAAACACTACCTTGAAATGTTACCAATTCTAAAAAAGAAAAAAAAGATTCTATCTGTAAATGTGAAGCTAAAGTACTAAAGTAGTAATAGCTGATAGACTGAGAATGTGTTACAGTACTCCTATAAGAAAATATAAGATGAAATTATTACAAACAAGGACATTAGGATCACAATTGAAATAAAAATTTTCTACATGCTATAGAAATTATGTGCATTTAAGCCTTATTATCCATTTTTATCTCACATAACATATGCACTTATAGATCTTATACACTGTTAACAGTCTATAATAATACTAGTTATATAAAGATAAACCAAAGTTTTAAAGTTTTAGAAAACACAGAAATATACTCAATACCACATATATATATATATATATATATATATATATATATATATATGGCAGTCTTCTATGATGTGTGTGTATTCAATATACTTTTTACTTCTCTCATTAGGTTCTGAGCTCTTTAACTCTAAAAATCGATGCCTATAGAATGTTTGTATCACCTTTAGCCTATACATATCAGAGTGGCTTTACAGAATAATAAAATAAATAATTTGTTGGATTATTCCTTTTTAGAAGAAATTGGCCTAGCTGAAAAACTATTGTTGAAAACAGCAAAAACAAATGAAAACTGTTCCACTACCCACTGATCTTGCAAATCCACCAGTCATCCCACTAAATCTAATTTTTTAGTTAGATCCATACTCTTTTTACTCTCTTGTTGGCTTTTCTAGTTTCCATGGGAATAAAGTTACGTTAAACTTAAATGCCCTTGTCCTCATTTTAGTTTTTTCTGGGACACTAGGGCTATGTCTAGACATGACTAAATACCATGGGAGTGCAGAACTTAAATTCTTATGTTTATTCATCCTTTTGATTCATTTGATTCACCTTTGATATTGAGTAGCAGCATATCTGTGTAGACCTAATAAAGTAGAGCAAATCAGCAAGCTAAAGGCCTTCTACTATGATGGCAGTCAAATTGAACTTAATCCTATATTGGCAAACTGATGTGAATAGGAATTCTAGGAATTCATAACTAGCCTGCCATGAGAAACACAACATTCCTTGTAGACCTCTTAGTAACATGTGGATCTTCAAATATTTATTATTACCAACAGAATTCCCGATGTCTTTCTAAAATTTAGTTACCCTCACTTGAATTAACTTTAATCTAAATTACTATTCTTAACTCTTTTTTGCTTAAAATATATATGTGTATGTGAAATTAAATGAATGAATTCAAAATACTAGCTTGGCTGTTAATACATTTTGAGAATTTTCAACATTGGCATACATTTCTAAAGACTATATTTATTTATTTGACAGAGAGAGACACAGTGACAGAGGGAACACAAGCAGGGGGAGTGGGAGAGGGAGAAGCAGGCTGTCCGCAGTGAAGGGAGCCCGATGCAGGGCTCGATCCCAGGACCCTGGGATCATGACCCGAGCCTAAGGCAGACACTTAACGACTGAGCCACCCAGGCGCCCCGGCATACGTTTCTAAACACATGAAAATACCCACAACAAAATGTACATTATCTTTCTTATGATGATCTTGTCAAAAGTTTTTCTTCAAAGAAATAGATTAGGAGGTTTATAAGATACACACGTATGTCACTTCCCACTGCTGTCTAAAATTGTTTTTGTTTTGGAAACAGATGTTTTCATAAAATTCACAATGCAAAGAAGATACTTATACATATGATTACTAAATTAGAAATTGAAAAAAAGAGTAAAATTAGATGTTTTAGGCAATTACTTGCAGATTACTCTATTATAATTTTGTTCATATAATTCAGAGGAAATTGGAATTTGATGCCTCAGGAAAAATAATTAAAATTATAGTGAGATAGGTAGATAGAGGTATTTACATAGAGATAGAAATAAATATATAGAGAGAGATACAAATGTATAGATACAGGGATACAGAGAGTGTTAGCTTTCTTAAACCTCCAAGTTTTGCACATGCTGCTTTAGCTGTCTCAAATATCCTTCCACCCCCTTTTGAATTGCTAACTTCATTTGTCCAACAAAACTTCATTTGTCCACATTTCAGGAACTGTTACCTCTAGGAAGCCATCTCTATTCCTCTTTATTACTGAATATTATATTAGCACCCAATTATTATTTCCAAAACACTGAAGACACAGAATTGTATTGTCCCCTTAAAAGAATACCATGTTTGACTCATGCCTATGAACCTAGCCTGCACTCAGAAGAGCTGAATAGCTGTTTGTCTTATTAATGAATCATTTGGTCAGTGGGCAGATCAAGAGGGTGTGCCTGAATCAACATACACCAGTGGTTCTCAACACGGGCATCTGATAACGTCTGGAGACATTTCTGATTGTAAAAAGTGGAGGGTGGGAGGAGTATTGGTTACTGGCTTCTCACGGGAAGAAACCAGGTATTCAGCTAAACATTTCTCAATGCACAGCAAAACTTCCCCCACCCCCAGTAAAGAATTATCTGGCTTAAATTTCATTAATGCCAAACTTAAGAAACCCTGGTATACACCTATGATGCTACCAGAAAATCTTTACTTTCACGTTCTTTGTGCAGCACAGCAGTAGCATGATTTTCCTTAATAGAAGTTAGCATATTTGGAGGCATTCCTTATAAATTAAAATACTACTATTTAAGGAAATAAGAGTAATAAAAATTGAAATTGTATTTAGGGGGAAATAGATTAATCTTATTACCCAACACCCTTAAATTATTTTTCATATAACTAATACAACTGTTATTATAAGTGTTCTTATTTATGCTCTAATAATTTCTCAACATTCAGGATGGCAGGCATGAAAAAACACTACAACACTGATACTATTATTAATGCCTCCATTTCCTCCACTACTTAAGCTAGTAACATAAAAACCAGAAGTTTAGACATAAGGTATATATAAATGGGAATTTTCAGAAGTTCATTACCCAATTTCATTACCGAATTTATTAAAAGGGGAGATTGGCAGTAATGGAGCACAGTCACTAAGTATCTTCTATGCAACAATTACAATAATTAAATTGTTCTGAACAGTATATATGCTTGTTGTAAACTGCAATGAATACACAATAAGTATTGATCTTCATTGTACAACTTAATTAAAACTTGTCTGGGAGAAGCCACTAATGAATATAATTAGAGGGAATGTTTGATATCATAGTTACTTTGGAAGACATTAATTAGATATCAGAAATTTTATGGAAAATGTTTTATTCTCTTATTTGTATTTTAAAATAAAGTCACACTATTAAGCTGAAAGACAGTCTTCAAGGTCATTTCCCTCAACCATTTTATAATTACAATGAAGATGGGCATATTGGTTGGTATTCTCATCAGTAATTAAGAAGACTGATTCTCCAGGAGAAATAACTCTTCAGGGGTCAATGAGTATATAGTCTATTACAAATTCCTAATGTTAATATAGGAAAAAAAAAGATTTACTAATACAAGAACTTTTTAATAAGTAAAAAGTTAACCATCTATCCAACCAAATAACAGATTATAATTGAAACTAATTCAAACTAATCTGAAGTATACTTTAATTTTATTACTACACACTAATAATTTTAATGTTTTCTTGAACAGAGAAAGGCTTTTAAAGAATTTACTTTCAGAAAAGTCAGACAGTTGCTAACTCATTCTTTTGGTTGGGATTCAAGGGCGGGAAAAGGAAAGGATAGAATGAGTAAAATGTAATATGCATAAGAAGATTGTTAAGTTCTCAACTTCACACATTCTAACAATTAAAGATTAATTTCAGTTAATAATTCAAATATGCTCTCCAATGATTATAACTTTCAAATATTCATAACTTTCCATGTATCATTTTGACTCCATATCTTCCTCCTTAACATCTTGCTGATATTAGTCATAAAAAGCAGAAACAAATTTGTTTGATTCTCCAGGAAAATGATACATTGGGATGAAGGTGTT